AAGAACACACTAGTAGGAATAAACACTAGGTCAGATGAAGCAGAGAATAGAATCAATGATTGGGAAGACATGGTAGAAAAACACACCCAATCAGTGAAGCAAAAAGAAAATTAAATTGAAAAGGAGGAGCCTTGCCGGTGTGGCTCAGTGGTTGAGCATTGATTCATGCACCAGGAGGTCACCAGTTCAATTCCCAGTCAGGGCACCTGCCCAGGTTGTGGCTCGATCTCCAGAATGAGGCATTTCAGGAGGCAGCTGATCAATATTGATATTTCTCTCTCATCGATGTTTCTATCTATTTCTCCCTCTCCCTTCCTCTCCTAAATCAATAAAAATATCGAAAAAAAAAAAATTAAATGAGGATAGTTTAAGGAACCTTTGGAAAAACATGAAGTGTAACACAATCCACATCATAGGGGTACCAGAAGGAAAAGAGAACAAGCAAAGAATCAATAACCTATCTGAAGAAATAATGACTGATAACTTCCCTAACTGGTGAAAGAAATGACACACTAGTCCAGGAAGTACACAGAGCCCAAAAATCATGAACCACAAAGTCATAAACCAAGACAAATCTTAATTAAAATGGCAAAGGTTAAAGACAAAGAGGGAATCATAAAAGCACCAAGAGAAAAATAGTTAATTATCTACAAGAAAGCTCCCATAAGACTATTAGATGATTCTCAAAAGAAATATTTCAGGCCAGAAAGGATTGGCAAGAAAGATTCAAAGTGATGAAAAATCAAGGACTTAAACCAAAACTATCTTAAATAGCAAGACTATAATTTAAAATGGAAAAAAAAATAATAAGCTTCCAAGACAAGAAAAAGCTAAAGGAGTTTGTTACCACCAAACCAGTAGCAATCCTATATAATAAAAGGCTAGTATGCAAATCAACTGAACGGTGGAACAACTAGTCGCTATGATGCACACTGACCACCAGGGGGCAGACACTCAATGCAGGAGCTGCCCCCAGGTGGTCAGTGCGCTCCCACAGGAGTTGTGCTGCTCAGACAGAAGCCAGGCACCCACATTGGGAGCAGACCTAAGACATCAGTCGGACATCCCCCAAGGGCTCCTGGACTGCGAGAGGGCACAGGCCAGGCTGAGGACCCCCCCAAGTGCACGAATTTTGTGCACCAGGCCTCTAGTAAATACATAACTATCACTAATCACTTTAAATGTAAATGGCTTAAATTCTCCAATGAAAAGACATAGGGTATGGAGTGGAGGTGGTCAATGGGAAAAAAAGTGGACATTTGTGATGCTTTCAACAATAAAGATAAATAAATTTTAAAAGGACATAGATTAGCTGAATGGATAAGAACACAAAACCCATATATATGCTGTCTATTAGAGACACACCTCAGAAGGAGAGATTCACACAGACTAAAAATAAGGGATGGGAAAAGATATTTTGTGCAAATAGAAACAACAGCAAAATCTGGGGTCACGATACTTATATCTAAAAAAATAAACTTTAAAACAAAGTCTATAGTAATAGATAGAGAATGATACTACATAATGATAAAGGTATCAATCCAACAAGAGGATATAACCTTTGTAAACTTTTATACACCAAACATAGAAGCATCTAAATATATAAAGTAAATATTGATGAACATAAAGAGAGAGATTGAGAGTTATATAGTTATGGTAGGTGATTTTAACAACTCATTGACATCAATTAAAAGATCATTCAGACAGAAAATCAACAAGGAAATAACAGCCTTCAATGACACATTAGATCAGGTAGACTTAATATATATCTTCAGAGCATTTCAGCCCAAAGCAGCAAAATATATATTCTCTCAAGGGAACATGGAACATTTTGTTGTATAGACCACAAGTTAGGGCAAAAATAAAGTCTCAATAAATTTAAGAAGATTGAAATAATATCAAGCATCTTCTCTGACCTGATGGTATGAAACTAGAAATCAATCACAAGAAAAAAAAAACTGAAAAGCATACAAAGAGATGGAGGCTAAACAACATGTTACTAAACAATGCATGGGTTCAAAATGAGATCAAGGACATAATCAGAAGTTAACTTGAAACAAATGAAAATAAGAACACAAAAACTCAGTTGGCAAAAACTAAAAGTATTTCCCTTAAAATTAGGAACAAGGGAGGAATGTCCACTTTCAGTACTCTTATTCAACATAGTACAGGAATTTCTTTCCACAGCAATCACACAAGAGGAATCCAAATTGTAAAGGAAGAAGCAAAACTGTCATTATTTGCAGATGACATGACAATGTATACAGATAACCTAGATCCACCAAAAAACTACTAGAACTGATAAATGAATTCAATAAATTAGCAGGACACTAAATAAATATCCAGAAGTAGGTTGAATTTTTATACTCCAATAATGAACTACTACAAAAAGAAGCTAAGAGAACAACCCCCATTTATGATAGCATTTTTTAAAAATCCCTAGGAATAAACTTCACTAACATTACATCTTAAAGAATTAGGAAAAGATTAACAAAAGTAGCCCAAAGTTAGCAGAAGGAAATAAGAAAAGTTAGAGCAGAATTGGATGAAATAGAGAACAAAAATACTATACAAGAAATTAATGCATCAACGAGGTAGTTCTTTGAAAAGATTAACAAAATGGAGAATAAAATCATATGATCTTATCAACAGATACAGAAAAAACATTTGATAACATACAGCATATATCTATGTACAAAACAATACAATGGACACAGAAAAAGTGCCTCAACATAATAAAGGCTATATATGACAAACCCTCAGCTAATATAATGCTCTATGGTGAAAAACTGAAAACTCTTCCTCTAAGATTAAGAACAAAACAAGGACGTCCATTCTCACCACCTCTATTCAACATAACACTGGAAGTTCTAGCCAGAGCAATCAGGCAAAAGAAAGAAAGAAAAGGCATTCAAATGGGGAATGAAGAAGTAAAAGTTTAACTCTTTGCAAATGATGATTATGTACCTAGAAAACCCTAAGGACTTTAAGACAAAGTTATTAGAAACAAATACAGTACATTTTCAGGGTACAAAATCATTGTACAAAAATTCACTGCATTCCTATACTAACAATGAAATTTCAGAAAAAAATAAAAAATTACTTTTGCAATTGCAACAAAAAAATAAGATTCCTAGGAGTACACTTAACAAACTTACCCGAAAACTACAAAGCATTATTTATTTATTTGTTTATTTTATTTAAAGAGATTGAAAAATACACAATGAAATGGAAATATTTTTTGTGTTCATGGGTTGAAAAAATCAACATAATTAAAGTGTCCATATTACCTAAAGAAATATACAGATTTAATGCAATTTTCATAAAAATTTCAATGACATTTAAAAAAAATAGAATAAAAAATCATCTGATTTATGTGGAACCACAAAAGACCTTGAATAGCCAAAGCAATCTTGAAAAAACTGAAGGAAGCTGGAGGCATCATACTCTCTGACTCCAAATTATAATACAAAGTAACAATAATCAAAACGGCATGTTAGTGACAGAAAAACAAATACACAGATCAATAGAACAGAATTAAGATCCCAGAAATAAGCCCACAATAATTTTCAACAAAGCCAAAAACATACAATGGAAGGGGGGAAATCCTCTTTAATAAATGGCGCTGGGAAATTCATGATGGCCAAGACATAGAAACAACTAAAGTGTGCTTCAATAGATAATTAGATTAAAAAAAAATATGTGGTACATACATACAGTAGACTACTACTGAGCCATAAGAAAAGATGAAATATTGCCATTTGCGACAACTTGGATCAACCTTGAGAATAGAATGCTAAGTGAAATAAGTCAGACAGAAAAAGTTAAGAAGCATATTATTTCGCTCATATGTGGAATATAAAACTGAAAGCTACAAATGAACAAAGACTCATAGCCTCAGATTGCAGTATGGTGGTTACCAGAGGGAATGGATTTGGGGAAGTAGTACTAGTAAGTGGTAAAGGGAATCAAATATATGGTGATAGAAGATGATTTGATTTTGTGTGGTGGGCACACAATGCAATATGAGATCATGTATCATATTAATGTGCACTTGAAACCTATAGCAGGTGCTAAAAACAGATTTGAAGACCTATTTTTTTCAGAAAGATTTATAGATAAGTTAATGACTACCAATTGTTTTAATAAAAAGCAATTTCAGCCCTAACCGGTTTAGATAGAGCATCGGCCTGCAGACCGAAAGGTCCAAGGTTCGATTCTGGTCAAGGGCATGTACCTTGGTTGTGGGCACATCCCCAATAGGAGGTGTGCAGGAGGCAGCTGATCGATGTTTCTCTCTCATTGATATTTCTAACTCTCTATCCGTCTCCCTTCCTCTATGTAAAAAACCAATAAAATATATGTTTTTTAAAAAAAGCAATTTCAGCATGAAACTGCATTTATTACTTAATTAATGACTTATTTGCTAGTCATTGGAAAATACAGGCTGGGAATGCAGTGTTCCAACTTAAAATCTAAAAATGATTGCATTGTTACACCAATTTACAAAGATTTGTAAAGGTATTTAAAGATCAGACTCCAATTATATAAGTTTCTAGATCATGAGGAGAGCCCAAAATTCAAGAATATTTAAAGCCAGTTGGCCTCAGAACAAATGCAGCTATCTCCCCATTCACATCATTCTTGTACTGCTAAAGGAGTTTGACAACAAATGTACTAGTAAATGCTAGGTTGCTCTTTTTAAGTTAGGGTTTTCTAAATATGTGGGCTTAGAAGTGGTCCAATTATCACTAATAATATGCATAACAGTACTTCTATGCATACAGACCTGAAACAAGTGGGTATGAAAGTGGCATAAGAGTAATGGACAGGTGTGGTGCAGGAAGCCTTCTAAAAAACCTCATTCTAAGTCCATAGGAGAGAACATGGCTTGAAAATAATTGCAAAAATGTGATCTGAGGTGTCATCGATTAGAAAAGTTAGAAAAGCAATGGGAATGAGAAAATGGAGATTTTCTTGGCTTTTTTTTTCATTTTCAGCTACCAGACTATGCTTGACTGCTGGCATAGTGTGTGCACCCTGAGACCCAACTTCTCTGACCTGGTCGGGCGTCTTGGAGATCTCCTTCAGGCCAGTGTTCAACAGGTATTCATTGATTCCTTTATTCTATCATTCAATATATTTTTGTTGTTGTCTATTAAGGCACAGTTCTTGGCGCTGTGAGCACTACAATGTTGGACAATACCCAAATTCCGTACTCAGGAAGCTCATAATCTAGTCTATGGGAATGTAAGGGAAGTAACTATAATGTTACAGAAAAAGTGAAACAAGAAAACAGGGAAAATAATAAACCCCTGAAGAGGGTACATGTGATTAGAGACAAGGTCAGTTCTTCATTAAAATATTTATTGAGCATCTGTCTAGTCTGTGCCAAGCATTGAACAGCACACTGTTGATTTAAAGATAAATGGCATGACACCTGACCTCAAGGAACACACAATCTAGTAGGGAAGCAAAATAACAAAAACAAGGTTTGTAGTAGAGTATAATGAGTAGCAGGAAGAAGGGACATAAGAGTCTTGAGAAATAAACAGGAGTTAAACTACTGGAAAAGTACAAAAGGAATTCTAGGCAGAAGGAATAGCATTTGTTAAAATTTGGTTTTGCCATGATATTTCTTTCCTCATAAAAGGTTGAACATAGCCCTGACTGGTTTGGCTCAGTGGATAGAGCATCGGCCTGCGGACTGAAGGGTCCCAGGTTCGATTCTGGTCAAGGGCACCAAAAAAAAAAAAAGGTTGAACATAAACATAGGTGAAAATCTGCCATTCGCTGAAGCATTATCTCAATATGTTGACTTGAAACTCACCAAGTGTTTTTTTCAGCCTACTTACTGTCAATAGAATTGGGGAATTTTAATGACCTATTTCAGTGATGGTGAACCTTTTGAGCTCGGCGTGTCAAAATTTTGAAAAACTCTAACTTAACTCTGGTGCCGTGTCACATATAGAAATATTCATAATTTTTTTTGATATTTGCAACCATAGTAAAAAATATTTATATTTTTGATATTTATTTTATATATTTAAATGCCATTTAACAAAGAAAAATCAACCAAAAATATGTATAAAATGAACAAAAACAGAAAAACAATGTAAATTTAGGAAAAAAATAATAAAAACAATGATAATCAAATGGTACGAAAACTAGAAATTAGTGACTTTTTTGGTGCTGAAGTTTGTCTGCTAATTCTTCGATTGCAGGTTCATACTTGGTGCACTTCAAGGCCAAGCAAGCGCCACTAACTTCATCTGTTAGCCGGTTTCTTTTGTTCATTTTAATATTATTTAATGCTGAGAACAAAGTCTCACAAAAATATGTTGATGAAAAAATTGTTAGCAAAGCCATCGCTAGATTTTTTATGTCGCTAAAAGTGTCAGGTACTCTATTCCAAGCACTCAAAATTTCTTGTTCGTAGTTGCACTCTTCTTCATTATTCAAACGATTTCATTCCAGATTTTCAAGTTTCGACCTTAAGTCAACAAACACATGAGTCCAAATGCTACCTTGAAAATCTGCAGGTTGCATCTCTAAATTGTCAATTTGCATCCATTGGAAATCCTTTAATTCCAAAGTACTGTAAACAACTACATCCGGATACTTAATTATTTTAATGGTCTGTTCTAGGCTTCTAAATTGGTCGAATCTTTCGCTGAACTGTTCAAATAACGAGTTTACTATATTCTGGTACATAAGTATGGA